TTAGAATTGCAATAATGCATACGTTGTACCTCTACAACGGATCGATGTACCTGTCTAACTAGATCGAAATACCTTCAAACTACATATATATGCTCATATAAATGTTACCCATTTGTTAGGAATGTTATCCTTGTACGAAGACAACAACCAACCAGAAAAGTTATGCATACGAATTTTAAATTGAAATTAACTAATTCATTACAAGACCTTGCAATGGTTGAAATAATGTTTGCAATGAACAAAAGTGCATTCACGGATACTTAAGTACATTGATGGTGTACTAAGAAAGAAAATTATATACATGTGTTGCGAAATTTTATGTTCTCCCAATCGCTGCCATTTCTTTCAACCACCAATGAAGTGAAGAATTGCTAATAGAAGAAATGCTTTCACCAAGTTCTTTAATTGTCTTATCCGTCAAGAAATTGACTGAAGTCGACCACATTCAAAGATATCTGCTACTACATAAATACTACCTAAGCAACCATCAATCATACCTTGATTGTCAATGCTTGTACCCCGAACACATTTTTATATACCTTCATTAAATATCAAGTACTTATATATAATACGATTTTATATGCTCTGGTAACGAGTATTTATGCCCTGATAGCTTGTGCTTGAAAATCGATCATTCTCAATTTAAAACATTCAATTGTGTCAGTAACCATGGATGAATTTATCATTATAGTTTCTCGCGAATCCTAGAACTATATGTAAAGGTAAACAATACATATTTACTATAGATGGATAAACAAGACAAAAATACCTAGTTAAATTATGTTGGTTGTTATTTATACATGCTTTGTGGTCTTCCTATTGAAAAATATGGCATGAGTTGTTGAACATAAATGTACCATACCCATAAATGACTAAATTAAATTATGTTGGGTTGTTAGAGTATATGATTGCTGCCACAAATTGAAAACCTTTAGACCTATTACATAGTAGTTCACATTATAACACACAACAATATTCGATCAAGAGCATATTTGCATAGGGCATGACTCTGCTAAGCAGACGAGTACTCCAGAGCCACTCCGACATACCCCCAATTTGGTTTGGTGTACAAAATTATACTAATTGTGTACCCATTGCATTCTTTCATGTAACAACTAAACTAAATTAAAAAATATCTACTTATTTACGGATACTATATTTTTGAATGTATATATATACATTCCTTAAACTAATGTTATCTCGATAATTTTGTTTGAGAACATAGATTCTAATTCTTTCCATATGAAATTGAATTTGCTCGATTAACTGAAAATTCTATTTGATTCAGCAGTTTGATGGTTCGGTTTGAATATTTTGCCCACCCCTACTTATGACATCATCTTTTTTTTATCATTTTTTAAAAAATATTTTATAATACTCTTATTTTACTTTTTACCTACATCACTTTTATATAAAAATATTATTATTTTTTAATTTTCATACTAAAAAAAAAGTGCATAATTAGCCCGGACGGAGATAATATTTAATAAATCTAATGTGTTAGAAAATTTATAATTTTAAAGTGACTTTTTAATATTTAAAATTTTAAATTAATTATAAAAATTAAAGTAACATTTTAATACGAATAACGTAACATATTTAATGGTCTTGAAATACGACTTATTAGACATTCACAGACTCAAGTAAAAACTATTTAATAGTATTTTATAAAACGATAATTTGGTTGAACAACCAAGTACTTCATCATGCCTCCGATGTACCCCATCTTTATTTTAATGTACTATTTTTTCCTAACATATGTACCTGAACTATGCTTTTAGGTACCTACATACTTCCAATGAATGTTTGTGAGGATTTACAGAATGACCAAAAGTATCAGTGATAGATTCTGAAATAAAATAAGAGTTTATAATCATCTGCATATGGATCTAAGGGACGCAACACAATATGACAATTATTTTCTCCTATTTTGATAATTAATTACCAAGACTAAATTGAAATTGTTAATGTGGTAATACGCTATCACGCCAACGTGCTTTGACATATCAACTATATACCCCCCAAATAATTTGTGCCTCTATTAAATTTTCAGAAACCTGTGTCATCAAATTATTATACATAAAACATGATTGTCGTATACCCCTTGTTTGTGTTCATATATTATAGTACATCCAAGTAACAATTATAATTCTATACAACCAGGTTCTTATTGTTGTATAATCACCTACAGCCAAACTCTTGTTAGGATCAAGGGACCTCAGTGCAACAAATGAAAATGACTTTCTTCCATTCGATTTTACAAATAGTACAAATCAACATATCGATCCAGCTTTAGCTAATCCGGCCTGCAACCCAAAATATGGAGACTCAAGCATGATTAAGGTAAAATCATTTTTGATAATAGAGATAAGATTCATTGGAAATTACTAGAAACTATGAAATATTTTCAAGATACTTGTTACGATAAATAATAATATTATAGATGATAAAATTTAGAATAAATTTGTCTTACGCTTTCTTGAACAATCCATAATTTTCATATCTTTGTATCAATATGATACAATATCTTATTTTAAACTCTTATAATGAAGATTGTTAAACATAGCACAAACCATCAAAATTATTCTATATGTACAGGTGAAAATATTTGGAAAAGTATGGTTCATAGGCATATCATAAAATTGACACATCTTTATTTTATATTACACTAATCAACTTAAGAGTTCCAAAAGTATTTCCAATCTTACAAATTCTAACTACTAAAAACCTATATAAAACCAATCATATCTCACACACAAAGAACATGACCTAGTTTAAACAATCAAAACAAAATAAAAAAACTCACAATCAATCGAACATTATAATCAATAAATATTATGGCATTGAGTGTATAACGGTTGGTTGGAATCCTCAAATAGCATATATTTTTTAAAAGAGAAATGACAACCTAACACTCTCGACAATAATTTATGAAATTCTTTGGCGTTATAACAAACTCTTTTTTGAGACATTTTATCGAACACATAAAGTGCATCATTCAAATATTTATTTCACTAATATACACCGTATGAATCCAAAACAAAGTAAACTATCTAAATCTAAAAGAATAGACAAATTCTTTTACTTAAAGTCACAGTGCTTCGTCCAAAAACAAATAGCATCACAATTTCACTAAAATCATATTTTCTTATGGAATTCTAGTAATGTACTAATCCTCAATAGCAACAAATTACCCACTTTTACAAAATAAAAATTATGACATATTAGCATAATAGCAACATAAATACCTGATACCAACGAAATTCATTCTCAAAATCACCCAAAAATTACCAACTTCACAAAATTCATACTTCGTGTATAGATTCCTACTCGTTTAACACGCACCAACAGTTTTTCCAAAATAACAATTTTCTTACTAATGATACAAATATTACCTTGCAAGTTGAAAATATTGGACTCTAGTTGAAGACAGTGTTGATTTGGAGATTGTCTGTGACAGCCTTCGGGAGTTATCCGATCAAATCGTGCGATCACCGGCGATAGAGAACCAGAGGTTCAGTGGGAGAAAGGACAACGAACCAGACGGACAATGGGCTAGGCAACCGGACGGGAGGTTGCTTCCGACCTCACGAAAGAGGGTTCAACAGATTGAGGAGAAAACTTCGCGCAAAAATAAGAAGAAAAAAAACTAGAGAAATGAGAGAAGAAGAAATGAGAGAAGAAGAAATGAGAGAAGAATCGATTGTGGGGAGTGAAAACGATGAAGAATATAAAAGAAGGGAGTGCAGACAAATAATTAATAAATAGGGACTAAATCCCAAATGAAAATTTTGCAGAGGAATTTTTATCCAATTGTGCGAAAAGTAAAAATAATAAATAAATATTTATTTATTTCTTTTTTTTTTTCTCTCTTTGTCCATTCATTTTTAGATTATCTAATTATTTTTCAATGTCTTTACGACATCTCATCTTCTACATCTTTTTAATTTGTTTGCTATTACATTATTATTATTATTTAAAAAATTTCTCTTATATTATATATATATATTTATATATATTCTTTTTGTTGAAATATGTTAGCATACGTACTCACTTCGTGTATGAGTCATGGATGCTTTATTTCACCACCACATAGTGTCGACATGTAGTATACGTTGTAAATTTATAGCCGTATATGTAATATGAAAATACCTATAAATACCGGCATTTGTTGAAATGAAATAAAGCACACGAATTCATCCTCATTCTTATCTTCATCTTTCATCATTATATATACATATGTTTACATATTAGCATACATACATATAAACTAATCATTACGTTTTTATATATATATATATACTTACCGCATACATACATATCTAATGTACATATATTTAATACTTATATATACAATGCATTACTATATATGTTATATACAATATACTCTCTCCGTCATTCAAATTTATATTCATTTTTTTTCGTAATTAAAAAATATTTTCGTTTACTTTTTAAGTAAAAAATTATTACATTTTTATACTTTATTTTTTACCATGAAAAGAAAAAGTATTCATTATTACTCACTTTTATAAAAACTCGTGCATGATGGAGGGAATATAAAATAATGATTAGTGGTAAAAATAATTAATATTTTTATTGACTAATCCTATACTAATGTTACAATAAAATAAAATTTATTAGGATAATAAATAGTTTATTGATAGAGAGATGATTTTTATTGCGATTGTCGTACATAAGGTTAGAGTTTAACTTATCCATATATATATTATATTATTTTCTAATGGGTTTTCTTTTCTTTTCTTTTTTTTTAATCTCACCTGTCACTTTTAAAGTCTATTTTGGTTAATTTTTTTTTTTGTAAACAATCCTGAATGGCTATGCAGGCTCACCAAAATTAGAGGACATCTATTTGTATTTTAAATTTTATTTATACATAATAAAAATTTTAATAAAAAATAATTTCCGTTGGAAGCACATTCAAATTTTATTTTTTCATTTAAATCACTTGAAAAAAAGCTAAGGCACCCTTTATCCTATAATTACGTGTATAGCTACGGTAACAAAAACATGATTATCTACATGAATTTAAGTCATAATTATTCACATGATTTTCGACTTATTTGGAAACAAAATAAAACCACTGTTATCCACAAAAATCACACACTCATTCAGAAATTCTTCATAAACACACAAGTTGCATAATTTCTTCGAACAGACAGCTGGATATCGAATAACCACTGCACTCAGTCTCCCTTCCCTTTCTCTTACCAACTTCGAACAATATTTGGTAAGCTTCAGACAACATACCTGCGGTTTAAATTTCTCCAAATTCTCAAAACCTAAAAGACCTTTACAATGGCCAAATCATTCCTCTGCAGCTTCCTCGTTCTCCTCTTTTGCCCCCTCACTCTTTCAGGTTCGTACATTATAAAAATATATATATATATTAAAGTTTATGTTCTATTCATTTTAGGGTTTTCTATTCTGTGCAGATTGTGATCCAGGGCGAATTCGAATTTACCAATGGCCGTCGGGCTTCGGCAGCCTCCACGTGCCGAAATACACTGTCCAAATAGTTAATGAAGAGTGGGAGTTCGAGGGCGTGTCCGATGTTCGGATAGGTTGTCCTGGTTTTGCATCCACAACTCTCATCGATCCTAGGGTTTTTCGACGGCTGGATTTCGCCACCTGTCTCCTCTGGGACGGGCGCGCCGTCATGTCCGGTCAGGTTATTACATTCGAATACACGAACATACTTCCGTACACTTTGGCCGCGGCCGCAATGGTCTGTCACTGACACGTCACAAAGATATTTGTCAGAACCTCGCGTCTACCCGTATCCATTGTGATTGGTATTTGTGGGACTCAATTAGGGTTGGGAAACTTACCTAAAATTTTGTTCCTAATTAGTTTGTCACACTATTGAATTTTCTACTTTGTTTGGGAGGTTATATATTTGGAGAGTGTATATATATATATATATATATATGAATAAAATTGAATGTTAATAGCCTTGAATTTATGGAAATTTTGTGGATTATTGTTTTGTGTATTTTTAAAATGTAATGTACTTGAATTTATTTTTGAATCTAGATATGGCCACTGAAAAATAATGGCGGGAAGAAGCTTAAATTAATGGATTTTGCTTCTGGATTCGACCATTAATGAGTGCCATTAATTCAGAATGAAAGTTTCTTTTCTTACTATTCTTTTTTAAATTAGGCATCGCAAAATATAAATAATAAATGGGTAGTAAATAATTATATTCCCTAATAATCATATAGAAAACAATTTATTATTATTATTATTATCATTATCATTATAATTATAATTATTTTTATTTTTATTTTTTTAAGGTGAGGTATTTAGTGCTCGACGAAGGTGTTTAAAAAAAAAAAAAACAATTTTGAATTAAAATTTCTTTAATTGATAATATGATATTGAATACAACAAAGGGTCTTTTTTTAATCTTTAATTGGTATCGCACTGTTATATGTAATTTCCTCTAAATAATCAAATAAAATATTTATTTTTATTTAATATATAAATAAAATATTTAATTCTTTTATTCAAAAGAACGCATCAAACACTATTTAATTCAATTTTTTTTATAATTTCTAATTCTTAAATTTAATCCAATGTTAAAAAAAGAAAAAAAACCATATTCAAATTTATATCAAAATGAAGGTTTTGTAAAATAAAATAAAACACAATCCAAATGTATATATAATCTTCATATAAAAATTTGAGATTGAACCAAAAGGAGTAGAAAAATCTCATGTGAAGAAGAGTTAAAAAGAGTATCGGCCATGGAAAGTATTCTAGTGAATGGAAGAGCAAATCTCACCTAGAAAAACACCGACTCTACTATATCTCTCAACTACTTACACTCTTGTTCGAAAATAAAGATAATATTACAATGCGCGATAATAAAAGAAATAACAATAAATATTACTTTCTCCGTCTTTAACTAAATATCTATTTATTTTTTGTATGTTAATCTTTCCATATTAATTATTATATAAAAACATATTATAAATAAAAAAAAATAACAAGAATACTTTTATTAGTGTCTTATAATACTAATATAATAATAATTTACAAAATATTATACAAATAATACGTCATAGAGGTATATTCAGCAATGACATTTTGTCTTTAAAGGTAAAACGGACTTCATCTTTGGTTTAAATGAAACCACGATAAGTCGGAGCTTCAGATAATAAAATCAAAGCTAGGAAATAAGTTGTGAGGAGATTGAGATCAGACCGTTTGATGGCCCTAGACAAAAATAAAAAAATGACCCTTATTTGATTTTTTATATATTTAAAATTTTTAATTATTTATTTCTTTATTTAATTTTTTTTTAAATTTATTTGATATTGTTATCAATAAAAATATATATAATTTTCTTTTATAAAAATATCATATTAAAATAAATTTAATAAAAACTCATTTTCAAATACAACCAAATAAATATAATATATATTTTTGGATATTATAGATATATTTATAAACTTTTACATATAAATATACATATATATATATATATTTAAATGGGCTTCTAAAAGGTCCAAAATTTTAAAGCCCTAGACGTGGGCCAAGTGACTCATGTTCAATGCTAGCACTTATTGGGATGTTATGAAAGGAAGGTAAAAATTTTACGAGAGACAACTAAAATATTGCATAAAGAAGAACAATACACAATAGCAAAACAAACGAAACATTTTGAAAGAAAAAAAAAAAAAAAAAAAGAAAGAGAAAGAGTTTCTTATTTATTGTGCATTTAATAACCAACCAACTTAGAAATGTGACACTCCGGCTCGCAAATCACACAAAATCAGATGTGTCGAAATAAAAAATTGGCTTCACAGGTCAATACAAAAAAGAATGTATACATTATTAATATGAGTATTATATTCAATACACTTAATTTCTATTCAATCTCGAATGATCTAACATCGGTTTATCTATACATATGAATAGACTTAGTACCAACCCAAGTCCAGAGGTATTACAGAAAAAGAGAAAAGATCAAGAGGTATTACAGAAAAAGAGAAAAGAATGTCCCTATTTATAGGAGAGCTTCATCGTGAGGGGTTATAAGGGCATAATACTATGTTAAAAACCATCAAGTCCAACATATAACATATAATATAATGACCATTATAATGGATATAAATACTATAATTTAAATTCAAAAAATATGTTGCAAACGTTGAATGCATATTCAAACTTTCATATACTTGAGCTTAGTTGGGTTGGTGGGTATATATAATTTTATAATGATAAAATCACATTTCACTTAGCTTGGGCGATGGAAATGAACATGCATAATTTCATGAGGCCAAGTCTGAACTTCAATTTTTCAAGGCACTGACAACCGACCACAATCCGATTGGAGCCCGCCCATACTCAAAATCAAGTTAAATATATTTTGGTTCAAGATAAAAACCAGTATAATCAAACTAAAGCGACGTGCGCGCGTATGGCTCTTTTGCCAAATATGTTATGTCTTCTATACAAGTTCAATTTCTTATATTAGACCATCTCAAACCTATAACTTATTAATATTCAAATATTCCATATTATTTATTTTCTAAAATTACTTTTTATATCTACAATTAATATTATTTTTTTTAAAAAAAAATTAGAAATAAAAAGTTAATAAAAAAAATTAATATACAAAAATTATTGTTGGGATTCTTGATCTTCCTGAACGTTGGGAGATGTGCACAGATTATCAACCAAATAATTAATGCGGATAAAAACGATAGTTAAGAATATGAAACAGAATATATATTAAGAATTGAAAGAAAAGTAGATCAATCGGTAAAGTAGGCTCAGATCGCAGCCACTCCTTCGCCAACTCCAAGTCGTCCTACGAGGTAACCCACAAAGGTGCCGACTGCGGTGGTTCCTAACACGACGTAACCCAAGAAACCTATAGCATTCCTCGCACACGCAGTATCAAGACGAAAAGTAACGAGAGAAGTCGATAGGCTAAGGCAGTAGGTTCATCGCTCACATAACAGAACAGAATAGCGAACTCGTCACACCCCTCTCCCAAAATCCCAAATCCATATATATAGAGGAGAGGCGGATAGAACCCAAAAGAGTAGGGAACAACCTTACCTTATCAACACCCATGGCGGACTCGATCAATTTCGAAGAAATAGGGATAGCATCGTAAATGACGGAACGGATGGGAGAAAGATTCAAAAGATCGAATAGAATGGGGGAGAGATCAGTTCTGATTTAGGGAGATAAAAACAAAACGGGTCGGTTCTGATTCGGGTCAGACCGGGTCGGGTCGGATCTAGGTTTGGGTGTGGGTCGACGCTGAAACACACCAACAATCTCTACCTTGTTTCTAGTCGACCCTCGTGGTTACATTGGAGGGCAATCGAGAATGGGAATATGCTATCATCATCGCCATTATTCCCGCAATCTTAACACGGAGTCAATTCTGTAGAGCATATTTTAACCACATAGAAATAATACATGCTATCAATGAAGAGCAGACACGGTTCTAATCCAATGTATCAAAATTTAACACATTTAAACATGACTGAAGCTTGGAAACAGGCAGACATTTGGTTCCCATATCAGTAGGGTTAAATTGAGAAGGTACTTTTTCAAGCTTAACTGACCATGTGTTAGGTTCTATCATGAAAAACAGGATTCTTGCATAATTGGATTTCAGACTGACTATCAGAATAGACAGTCACATTGTCACGCAGTATTTCAATTTCAGAAAGCAAACCTTTTAGCCACAGCGCTTCCTTTAGAGCATCAGTTATTGCAATATATTCTGATTCAGTAGTAGATAGAGCAACAATATGTTGGAGTTGTGATTTCCAACTTATGCATGAGCCATACAAAGTAAACACATAGGATGTTGTAGATTCTCTATTGTCTCTATCGTTCGCATAATTAGAGTCCATATAACCTTTCAATTTGACTCATTCAACACATTTTCCAAATTTTAGCCCTAGGTTACTAGAACCACACAAATATCTAAATAACCACTTGACTGCATTCCAATGTTCAGTTTCAGGATTAGACATGAAACGACTCAAACAACTCACAGAATATGCAATATCAGGTCTAGTGCAAATCATCAAGTACATCACAGAGCCTATAGCATTCGAATATGGCACATCTTTCATGTAATTCATATCAGATTCAGACTTAGGACATTGATCTTTGCTTAGCACAAAATGAGAAGCTAGAGGCACATTAGTTGACTTTGCGTTGGACATACAGAACCGTTTCAAGAATTTTTCAATATATGCGGATTGATTTAACAAAAGTGTAAAAGCAACCCTATCTCTAATAATGTTCATACCAAGAATATTATTTGCATCACCCAAATATTTCATGTCAAACTTATTGCTCAAACAGTCATTAACATGCTTGATAATATTCACACAAGGACTAATCAATAACATGTCATCCACATAAATAAGTAAGAAAACAGGAACATCATTTGATCTCATAAAATACAAGAAATGGTCAAAATTACTTCTTGTGAATTTTAAAGATCTTATGCACTCATCGAATTTAATGTTCCACGATTTAGGTGATTGTTTCAAACCATACAAAGATTTCTTCAGTAGACACACATGATCAGGCTTACCTTTATCTACAAAGCCATCTGGTTGTTTCATGTAAATTTTCTCACTTAGATCACCATGTAGGAAAGCAGTTTTAACATCCATTTGTTTTAGTTCCCAATAAAAGTGAGCAACTAAGGCAAGCATTATCCTAACAGTAGTATATTTAACCACAGGTGAGAAAATTTTAGTGTAATCAATCCCTTCTTTTTGAGTGAATCCTTTTGCTACCAACCTAGCTTTAAATCTAACATTATCATTTTCATTTTTGACTTTGAAAATCCATTTGCAGTCAACAATAGAACAATTAGTTGGCATAGGAACAAGAATCCAC